CAAAGGTTACCACCAGGCACACAATCAAGCAGTAAACATATGCTAATCAATCGTTACAGAGGAGCAAAACAAAACCCCCACGCCCACCAACACTGGCAAGGCATGCCACAGTATCTAAATAGAGAGCAAACCCCAACCCATTTTAGCAATGAAGATGTTACCTAGTCGGGTAATGAAACATTTGCAAGAAAAGAACCAAGCTCAGAGAAATGTAACTGTCCCCTTAGTCCATTTTAACTTTCACTTTCCGAACTCCCAGCAAGCTTTTTGCTTTCAATTCTTTTTAAGTCTTTATAGTTGCATCCTTACCTTTTATTTTAATCTTTACAGATCGAAGGTACACTCACTTGGGTCGCTTTAGGCACTCTGCTGCTTTGAAGGTCTCTATACACTTTAAATTTTCTCCATCCAAAAGTACTTTAGAAAAATGGTTAGGGTGAACCCAGTGTCCTTTAAACAAGCTTTGCTTGAGGCTGTAAGCAAGCTGTTTTCTTCCACAGCTCTCAGTGATCTTTACTTGTGAGGCACCCACAAGATCCCCCAGAATCCTGCAGGTTTCCTTGTGAGGAGCTGCTCTTTGGAGCTCAAGTAGGCAACCTTGTGGCTTTTTCCTTGTCTGGAGAAGCTCTGTTAGCTCGGGGGCACTACCCGGCTGCTGATCTTTGCCTCTGTACAAAGACATGCTAGTCTGCCATGTTTCCGCCCTGGAAGTCCTATACATTTATTAAATATTAATAAATTTAATAAATAAATTAATGTAGAGAGCCATTTTGGTGTAGTGGTTAAGGCATTGGGCTAGAAACTGGGAAATGACAAGTTCATCCTGCCTTAGGCACAAAGCCAGCTGGATGACCTTGAGCCAGTCACTCTCTCTCAGCCCTAGGAAGGAAGCAATGACAACCCATTTCCAAAATCTTGCCAGTCTTGCAGGGATTTGTCCAGGTAGTCACCAGGAGTCAAGACTGACTTGAAGGCACCAATAAATAAATAAATAAAATTAATAAATTATATCTCTATAAGAGCCAGCAACCATTTCACTGCCAATAAGATGATAATATCTGCTGAACCTCCTGTGATCATGTTTCTCTGGCATCACAGTCTACAATTTCTCTCCTCATTTAATCCACCAAGAAGTGTGTCCGTGCATAGCTTCCTCTGGATAACACTTCATGCATGTCATAAAGTATACATAATCCCAGAAGTTTATCCTATGCAGATTTTTGGCATCTTTAAAATACCATAGACTGTTTTTGTCTCTTGGAAACATCACATTGTTTCCAAGACACTAGATACTTCCTACTGGATATTATCACTCTGGCTTTATGTTAATTTTCACTGTGATAATGATGATCTAGAAAGAGAGTTTTCATCCATATAGGGAGGGTGAGAATCACCACTCACAGAACAGCAATTCTGGGTAACATTCATTGGGATCAATCTTTTTTACCAGTTTTGAGTTTCCCCAATGGCATAGGCAAGAAAAAGTTGTAGCATGCTATAGCTAGGGGCCTCTTGAAAGCCTAGCACTAGATTAGAGCCAGACTAATACCTGCCTCTCTCTGTTACCTGTCTGCTTCCCAGCCTAGCAAAGACACAAGCTTCTGCTTCTTATTTAATGGATCTTTGTAAGTTTACTGCAGGGTATACTCAGACAGCACTGTGCATCATATTTTGGATTGACTTGCAGCCCCTTGCAAACGCAAAAAACGTGTCCATCATTGTCCTCATGCAAGGGAAGGCAACCTGATACATTCCAGATGTTTTGAACTTTGCTTCCAACCAGCATGGTCAGTGACAAAGAACTGAGGGAGTGGTGGTCCAATATGAGAAGATCATTAGGATGTCTAATATGCTATGTATATGTTATCCAGCATGCAACAAAAAAGGTAGCTGCCGTTGTACAAACAGTACTTCAGCCAAAGTCCTGTAGATTTGGCAGGAGGGAGGGTGGGTGTCCCATTTTTTGTTCCCTAGACTGAATCACTCTGCCTTCAAAGAAAGTCGGTGTCTGTCTACTAAGCTTCTTTCCTAGTGTCAATGAGCTCTTTAGAGTGCAGCCCAATAGAAAACAGCTACATTTTTCTGGAAGATTTTTCAGCAGTCTTCCAATAAAAAGTATTGCCAGCAAATATATTGAAACAAATGAGCCATGTTTGAGGCATTTGGCGTTTTTTTTATGGTTTTCCTGAACAAACCTCACAAATCCCTCTGGAACAGTAGCTCCTTTCAGTTGCCCTTTGATGTGACATTTTTGCTTAGCTCTGCTGGAAATTAACAGATTGTTCATTTATTGAGATGATAACCCAGCCCCTAATTAGTCCACCCATCATTATGTGATCTTTGGGTTGATTGTTATCATATGGATATTGTCTGGCGTATTTGTACCATACAGAAAGTATGTAATTCTCAGGACCTAAAGCCTTTATATCAGTGAATTCAGAATATCATCTGGTATCTTTCAAGCTAAAAGGAATGAGGCCTTCATCTTTTTTTTTTCTTTTAAGAACCATCAACACAGTGCAGGAATAAGCAATGAATAGTAATCTTCTAGTTATCATTGGACAGTTCTGACTGTCCCACACCATTGGCCGTGCTATCTAGAAGGTCATATGTCACTCATCCTGGCTATAGTGAATAGAATGTCCTGCTTGAATAAACAGATTCAGTTTCACAGCTATGAAACTCACCAGATGACTGTAGACCATTAAAAAAAAAAAAAAAACCACAACAATTATACCACAGAAGCATTACAAAGATAAAAATAGGGAAAATGGAGGGAATTGTATATAATACCTCCACTCTGCTTCTTGGCAGAGCAGGACTGGGTTTCAGACCACCATAATCCCATGTCTATATGTGTTTATGTTGTGTATGTGTGTGTGTGTGGGGGGGGGGGGTATATTTTTTGGCTCCAGATTGCCACACTTTAAGGGTAATATTCCCACATGCTTTTCTGTTTATTGGTATTTTGCTCTATGTTGGTAACACTCAATATTAAGTGAACATATACATCCTATGCTGATAAACATTTGCTATAAAACTAGTTTCATTTCACACTAATGATGCACAGTACTGACTGAAACAAGCTGTTCCATTGAACCAACTTGGACTAGCTTCATGAATAAATGACATTCAGTCAAAAGAAAGTTTACAACATGTTCACTGCCCCACAACTGCAGATTTTAATAGTTAAGCTAGCATTTGTACATTTTCCAAAATACATCAAAGAATAAAGAAACAGTTGAACTCACATGTTGAAGTTGGTTGGAAAATTGTTTTTAAAAATATCATTTTGCGGCGTGCCAGAATTTATTTTGGCAAAGTGTTTCTTAAATGTTTCAGGTTGGTATAAGCTCAGTGGTACTCGCACATTACAGACTGACAAGGCACGTTTACCCAAATTGCTCTTATTGCAACCTAATCCCTTCACATGAAAGAGTTTTGCTTACTTTTTACAAACAGGAAGCCCAAAGACTTATAATATGGAATAATAAGATTTCTACATGGAGGAACTGGAAGGACCACTATTAATATACTCTGCAAATACTGCAATTTATAACATATCATTTGAAAACATGAATAGAATATTCAGTGGTGTTATGGAAGTTATTTAGTATCCATACTGTCATTCAGGGATTTTTTTCCCCCTGTACCATACGCCATAAAGAAAATATTCCCATATCCAAGAGTCATTCAAGTTAAAATAAAACCTCAAGTCAAACAAGTTTTTCTGAAGCCTTCAGCATACATTAGAAATAAGATAGTGATTAACTACTCCACTGGAACAATACAGTTTCACAAGTAAAGTCGGGCAATAAACTTCAGAATCTCAGCTGAGGACACTCAGTGGAATTCCAAGGGGAATTTCACAAGTCTTCATTACTGGGCCAAAAGGTATATTTAAAATGTCTTTCAAAATTCATGTACATCTCAATCCCTAACATGGAACTTCAGAAAGGTAAGACTAACATTTGATGGTGCATAGTTTCTGACTAAGATCATCTATCTACTGGCCCAAGATAATCTCATTACTTCTCAGATGAAATTGCAAGCATTAATACTTCCTTTCATCACCGTCACACACTTCCCCTCCCCCCCTTTTTCTTTTTTCTTTTTTTTTTATTTTAAGTTCATCTTCTATAAAGAGATTTAAAATGCGTGGCAAAACGAAGAAGGTAAAGAAGTCTGTCCTTACCTAGAACAAGGCAGAGGAAAAGGTCAGTGCTCCCGTTTGACTAAACTCAGCATTTTCACTTTCACTCTGTTAAAGCTGTGAAGATTAGGGGGAGAAGGGAGTGGGGGGGGGGAGGGAAGGTTTGAAGTGCTAAGATCTTCCCCTAGAGTTTTAATCACTCACTTCCCAAGATCCAGCTTAACAAATGTCACTGTGTTCTGTCAATATTTGTATGCAGCTCCACTGAGGGCGAGCAGCCAAACGCACATGGTTTAAAGAACCAAGAGCAGAAAACTGACACCCGGACAAACACTCCCAGCTTTGTCTCTTTTAAGGTGGTGCTGAACATGTCATCTGAGTTTCTGACTGCACACAGGCGCCGGGCAGAGATTCCACCCCCTTGGACAAAAATAATAACAGCCATGTGTCACTTTAATTATCTTGTTTTACAAATGGAGTGACTTTCACGTGATGATGGCTTCAAAGGTTGTATGCAGTTTTGCTTTGTTTTTTGCTCCAAAGCCGCTGTCCTTTAAATGTATTTTAATTGACTGGAATTTAGAAAGAATCTCATTTGGCAGGAATTTGCATTTGAAGCACACCCCTTGGCAGCTGAAATGGGTCCCAACAACTTGACCAAAAGAGATTGCTGGAATATCATTGGCTCCCCCCATAAGGGAACTCAATTATAGAATCAAAATTATGTTGTTACTAATTTTTGATATATTGTTTTTAAATTAATTTAGAAGCTATAAAAAGGACAGGAATCAGAAGCCATTCTAGTGAAACACTGTAAAATGTTCTCAGAGGGTTCAGAAATGGAACAAATCATTATTCCTTGGATGCCAAACATTTTTTTCTCCTCACTTTGATTTCTCCTGCGGAAGTTATTTCCCACCAACCTCTGGGAGGTTTGTCACCCATTCTATTGTCAGCGAATCATTCTGGCTAGCTTTAATATTGTTTTATGCCACTGTTCTCTTTTTGACTGCAGTGCAGTAGAAACTACAGTATAATATTTATTTTATATGTGTGTGTGTGTGTGTGTGTGTGTATAAACTTTTTATTGAAAGTTTTAACAGCAATAATAAGAACTAATACAAACTGAAACAGAATAGAGAAAACAAAAAAGAAAGAGAAATAACAGTAAAAGCTAAAAGTGCAATAAGAAAAAAAAAGTAGGAAAAAGTAGGAAAAAAGAAAAAGATATAAAGGAATAAAGAAGTAGCTTCTGATATTCTTCACAGTAGTTATATGTATAATTATATTTTAACTTCTTTCTCTCAAGTTACATCATGACTCTCTTCTTTCTATAATCTATCCTGTCTAATCATCAAAACCATAAATCACAAGTTCTTTTTACATAAAAATGAAAAAAAAACTTGTGATTTATGGTTTTGATGATTAGATCCATAAGGGGTTTCCAATCACCAATAAATGTAGATATTGTCTTTTCTCTAATCAAAAAAAGTCAGTTTGTCCATGTCAGCAAGATCTGTCAATTTCACCATCCATTCTTCCATGGTGGGTAATGCCGAATCTTTCCATCCTTGTGCATATAATAATCTCACTGCATTAATCATATATTGAAGTAATCTTCCATGGCTTTTTTTCTAACTGTTTATCCATCAGTCCTAAAAGGAAAAGTTCTGGCTTCAACAATATTAATCTTTAAAATCCTCCATATTAATGTATATATTTGAATCCAATTTTTTTTTAGCTTTTTTACATGTCCACCAAGCACGATAAAATGTCCCTTTATTTTGTGCACATTTCCAACATATATTTGAAATACCTTTACTTTCTAAATAATTTCTCCAGCATCATGTACCAATGGTACATCATTTTATAAAAATTATCTTTAAGATCATAACATAATGTAACTTTCAACCTGTTTAACCATATATTTCCCATTGATCCATCTGTATATTATAACCAAAATTCTTAGCCCACTTTATCATGCATTCTTTAACCTATTCTTCCTCTGTTTCAAATTTCAACAAAAGTTTATACATTTTAGCAATTATATGTTCATCATCAGTGCACAATTGTACTTCAAATTATGTCTTATTCTGTTCCATACCATAAATCTTTATCCATTTTGAATTTTTCTGATAACTATAAATGGGAAAACCATTGACAACTATATCCTTCTGATTTAATCTTATATTCCCCTTGATGATTTTCCAATAACTCCTGGTACATTAACCATTTGTCTTTGTTGTTTCTCTTCTATGGAATGCTTCTTATCCTGAGATTCACAGAGGTATTTTCAGGCACTGCTGTGTTTAGATATATTCCATATTCTCAATATGGTATGTCTAATAAAATGATTTTTAAAATCCACATTAATTTTAACTTAATTATACCATAAATATCCATGCCATCCAAACCTCAGGTCATGATCTTCTAACTCTAAAAGTCTCTTGTTTCTCAGCAATACCCATTCTTTCATACAGACCAAACAATAAGCTACAAAATACAATTTGAAATCTGGTAAACTCAGTCCTCCTCTTTCCTTTGCATCTTGTAACACTTCATATTTAACTCATTTTTTTCCCCTTGCCATATAAATTTAGATATATCTTTCTGCCAATGTTTGAATGGTACATCAGTTGTCAAAACAGGTATTATCTGAAACAAAAACATCATTCTAGGCAAAACATTCATTTTTATCACAGAAATTCTAAGTGACAATTTTAATTTCTCCCATCTTAACATGTCCTTAATTTCATTCCATGTCTTAACATAGTTATTTTGAAATAACATGCAATTCATATTTGTCATAATAATACTCAAGTATTTTACTTGTTTCTCAATCTTAAAACTAGTTTTCTCCATCAGTTCTATTTGATCTTCTAATTTCATATTTTCGTTAATATCTTCATCTTCTGATTGTTAATCTTTTATTTATTTATTTTTATTATTGAGAAGAAAGAAAAAAACACATAGGAAGTGCTTTAACCAAAAAGTGAAATACAACAAAGAAAAAAAATGTTAATATGCCATTATAAGAGTAAACAACTACAATTCTTTATATACTTATCTAATGCAAATATTATTCAAGTATATATATATTTCTAATACAGTTATATGACTATCATTTTTTTAACCTACTGTATTTTGTATAAATGAGTCTCATATTTCATTATATTTATCCATACAAAGTCTACGTCTATAAGCAATCCGCTCATAAGTAGCAAGTGCAATCAGGTCTTCAATCCACTGAATAAATGGGGCCATAATTCATCTTTCCAATGCTGTAATATCAGTCTTTTGGTAAGGGCACAAAGAATCCATTTACGTTGTCTGGTTGTCAAGTTCCATGCTTCTGATTGTTAATCTTAAAACCTGCTAGCATACTAAAGTCCTTTGATTTTCCCATTGATTTTCTATTTCCTCTAGTGGATCTTTCAAAACTAACACCGGGTCATCTGCATACTTTCTGTGAAGTATAAATCGATCTTAGCCATTTAATAAAATTATCTCCAAGATTCATATGTTCCAGAACTCTAAACAAGAAAATCCAATTCTAATTGTCACTACAGTATAATATTTGGTTTGCCTATGGCTCTGAAACATTACCCTTTTATAACTTTATTGTCTTCCTTTAATTGTTGCATTATAAGGTTGCAGTCAAACAGGCCCTCACTTCAGCACTTCATCCCACTGAATAACTCTGAACTGCTCTGGCCTGCAAAATGGCAACAAAATATGTGCATATACATATTTACTCACAATTCAACACATATTCAATCCCAATCAAATGGGGCTATTTGCAAGAAACTTTGCATAGAGCTATGATCTAGATTTGGCCTCTTAATTTGAGTATATAGATTAAAAAATTTTCCTGATCTGCATAAATCAGGGAATAAATAAAATATTTGAGATACCACTTAGTCAATCAAATTCCAGAACACCTTTCTATTTATTTCACTGGGAAAATTCAAAGTGTTTTACTTTTTCCATTGGATCCAGTAGAAAATAGATATGCTAAAACCTGGGCACAGATAACCAGTTTTGGTGTAAAATCATGGCCTATGAAAGAACCACAGCATTCAGGAATGTCAAGGATTTGGACTTCAAGCCATAGTATTCAGGACTGTCAGATACATGGATTCAACTGCCAATATTCTCAGCAATGGCTAGTTGACTTGGGAATTCTGGGAGCTGAAGTCCACACTTCTGGAGGGTACCCAGATTAGGAAAATCTGCCTTCTAAATGTGTTGCACCATAAATCCCAGAATTCTCAGCAGTCATCTGCCACACTGGGAATTCAGGAAGCTGTAATCTAGCATATCTAGAAAACACCAGGGAATTGAATGGCTAACTTAAAATGTCTCTTATCATCACTGGTGTATTAGAAAGAATAAAGACACTAAATAAAAGATTATTTTCTGGCTAGAGAACAATGAGGATTGTTTTCTGTAAATATATGTTGTCGGTCTTCATGCTAAAATTCTAACAACATTTGCCAGGAGTAAAAAAAATTGCAGCACTTAAGAGTTACTGTGTTGAAAGCGAAATATACATTATATACAGAACTCCCCACCTAATTATAAAGAACTGCATGATTTCACAAGTTGGCTGAGTACAAGGGTTGGAAATTTGAGCTCAAGAGCCTTGATATTCTAAGCATTTTCTGTGAAATTCTTTCTCTTGTTCTTTTCCCCATAATCCTGCAAAAGAAAACACCAGAGCTTAATTCTGGCACCTGGTCTTACCAATGCATACAATATCCATGGAGCAACAGATCTGGTTAAGGTTATTCAATGTCAATTTCTAGTATTCTTGATAATAATGAAGCTTTGAGATAAACACACAGTTGATGCTAACTATCTGAAAGCCAGACAAGATCAGGGCAGGGTTTCTAGCAGCCTTGAGCCAATGGATCTGTTTTTTGTTTTAATTTTTCACAGACACTGCTACCTTTGTTCCTCTATCTTTTCTTGGCCATGGCTATGGCAGCGGCAGGCCACATAGGAAAGGACTATCATTCATTGAAGGTCAACATTCAAGTTCTAAGTTCAAACCAACCATCAAGAGAAAAAGACTCTAGAGTCAGTCATAAAAGAGATTTCCCTCTATCTGAAACCTTGAAAAAACCAGAACAGTGTTAGCCCAGTGTCTGACACACAATAAGGCACTTTCTTAAGAAAAAAAATCAGACAAATTGCAGAAGGCAGAAGGTCCCTTTGGTGGGTTCTGTGTCAGAACCTGGGAAAAAGGAAACAGGTCCATGTTCAATGCTATACTTTTTTCTGGGGCCTTTTT